GCCACCACCGCCCGGCTTGTTTTTTTTTTTTTAAACAGTACAGATTGCACCCACATGCTGCTGCTCACAATCACACCTCAATTCCAGTTCCAAGGTAATCCAGCGCCCTCTGCTGGCTTCCATGTGCACCAAACACAAAAGTGCTACATACAGATATGTGCAGGGAAAATACTCATACCCATAAAAAATAAAACGAAAATCTTCTGAAAAAAAATGGACATGAACCCGGGGTGGGGGTCGGGGGGTGGCGGCCTTTAATTCCAGCACTGGGGAGGCAGATCTCTGTGAGTTCGAGGCCAGCCTGGGCTGGCTGCACCAGGAAAAGGTGCAAAGCTACACAGAGAAATCCTGTCTCGAAAAAACAACAACAAAAACCAACAACAACAACAACAACAACAAAAAAGGACATGAAAGTATGAGGGGACTTCTGGGGGAGGAAGCAGGTTCAGAGGGAGGGGGGCCAGGATGACAGAGTAACTAGACAGTGAAAATGACCAACACATCATATACATGCATGAAGTCATTTCCAAAAAACCACAAAGTTACAGAACTAAAAAATATGGCACTGGCATAAAAACTGACATATTGACCAATAAAGTAGAATAGAGAACCCTGAAATTAGCCTTCACTTATATAAAGATAGTCAAATTATTCTCAATAAGGGTGTGAGGCCAGTGTGGAAAAGACTCTTTGGGAGGGACTAGGATCTAGACAGTTGTTTCAATAAATGGTGCCAGAACACTGAACATCTACAGGCAAATGGACAGCAGTGGAGCTTTAACACAGCACAGAAATTAACTCAAAGTAGACTGTGAAGTTGAAGCTCTGTTAGAGGGCTTGCTTAGCCAGGGCAACGGGGTAGGGGAGCCTGGGACTGGAGACTCCGATCTGCAGTCCCAGCACTAGGGAGGCTGAGCCATAAGGATTACCTGTGGGGTAAGCTAGCCTATGAAACTCTTAGGGGAAAAAAATAGAAGAAATCCTCAATGAAACAGAAGACTTGCCAATACTTTCTTGGCAGAAGAAACATTGGCAAAGTTAGACTTCAGTAACTTTGAAATCGTTCCCCTGTGCTCCCAGGTACTGGGAGACTGAAGCAGGAGATCTTTGGGCCTAGAAGTTTGAGACTAAACTGGGCAACTCGGGGAGACAGCCTTCTCTGTCTCAAAATATAATGAACAAGTTTGGACTACATGGGTGCACAGGCCTGTAATCCCAGAACCTAAGAGGCAACAGCAGAAGGATCAAAGCCAGTCCAAAGTTATCTCGGTCTACATATCAGAACCTGTCTTAAACAAAACCAAAGAAAAACTTTGTAGTAAATAAATGGCATTAGCAACAGAATAACCCACAGAATACTTCAGAATGTAAATCACATAGGGTTAGTAATATCTATAATGAAAAATCAGACAACAAATAAACCAAAAAACAGTCAGTGCACACACAGAAAGACGTTCAGCATCCCTGACCATCAGGAAGGTGTCTATCAAAACTACAGTGAGCTGTTCTGTTGCTGCAGACCGCGGACCCCTTCACTTAGGAAGCTCTCTGTGAGTTCAAGGCCAGCCTGGTCTACACAGTGAGTTCCAAGACAGCTCGGACTACATAATGAGACCCTGTTTCCTTACCCGCCCCTCAGGTTGATTTGTTTATGTGTGTGTGTGTGTGTGTGTGTGTGTGCATGCATGTGCAGATGTGCCCATGTGGACTACTCAGAGTTGGAGTAATCTTAGCATTTGGCAGGTGGAGGCAGAAGGATTAGGAGTTTAAGACTAGCCTAAGCTACAGAGTGAGATTCAGGTTTTTTTTTTTTTTGTTTGTTTGTTTGTTTTGTTTTAGGTGGCACAATCCTTTAGTCCCAGTACTTGAGAGACAGAGGCAGGAGGATCTCTGTGAGTTCGAGGTTGGCCTGGTCTACATAGTATGTTCAGAACAACCAGGGCTATATAAAAAGACCTGTCTTGCAAAAACAAACAAACAAAAAACCCCAGAACCTCAATTTTGTATCTATCAACCTTTACCTATAGTTGGGTCTTCACCTCAGGTGCCTCGAACTCACAGAGATTCACCTGCTTCTGCCACCTGGGTG